AATGTGCCACATATTCTGAGACACAAGAATTGCTTGAACCCAGGAAGTGGAGGTTGCAGTGAGCCAAGATCACGCCACTGCACTCCAGCCTGGGTGGCAGTGTAAGACTCTGTCTCAAAAAAAAAAAAAGAAAAAAAAAAAAAAAAAGCCAGGGAACTTGAAACTTCTCTATCCTTATTTTCCCTCCCCCTGTATCCATACTCTTAACTTCCAGTTTTTTTAAACCATCATAATAATGATGGATTCAGGCAAGAATTATAATAGACGCTAAGACAAATGGGTAAAAGTGTGATGAGAAACAGGATTATTTGTATAGTCTCAAAGTATCTACATTTGCACACATGCGACTGATAAAACTTAACTTTACAGTGGAGAAATCGGGCAGGTATCACCATAATCAGTGGAATGCCACCTGGTAGGGTGCACTCAGATTATAGGATCATTGCTGTGCTACTCTTGCCAAAAGTGCATAACGTGAATTTAATCATGAAGAGACATCAGACAAACCCAAATTGAGGAACGTTATACAAAATAACTAGTCTGTACTCTTCAAAATTGGAAGGTCATCAGAGTCAAGGAAAATTAAAGAGCTGTTCCAGATTGAAGGAGAGACTATAAAGCCTGGACAACTAAGTGCAGGACAGTAGAGCCTTTTCCTACAGAGGTGACAATTGAGACAAATGCAGAAAACTGTTTCTTAATTTTGATGATTGTCATATGCTTCTGTAAGACAGAGACCTTGTTTATAGAAAATATGCACTGAAATAGTCAAGGGCACTGGGCCATCATGCCTGTAACTTATGCTCAAATGGTTCAGCAAAAAAGATAGAAAAGAATAAAGCAAATATGGTAAAAGGTCAATAATTTAGGATTCTGGGTGAAGGGTATATGAGAGTTGTTTGTACCGTTCTTGTCACTTTTCTGTAAGTTTGATTTAAGTAAAAAATAAATGCTCTTAGGGTGATAATTCTCTGTTTCATGTAAGATCCTTTAGAGTAAAAGAGAAACTCACTAAAAGAAAAGCAAAGAGATAGCACTTAGCTAGTTAGTTCAGTTACTTTGCACAACATAAGAACAAGAATGTTGGAAGTTGGGCTGAGTGAGCAAGGTAAGAAGGGTAGATGGAATGGACAGGAAAAGCCCTGCAATAGCCCAGGGGTGCTGAGGTCTGGTAGAAGAGTAAACATTCCTGGGAAATAGGAATCGTTGAAAGATGTTTAAGAACAGGGATGCCAATTCTAATTTGTCTGGAATATTGGGATGTGATGTAATCAAGCCTTGGCCCCAAACAGTCTGCAAAGTCAGTTACACACACATGCCCTTTGGGAAATGAGGCAACTGTGGATGTCCTACCAGGTGATGCAGCACAGGAGGAAGTGGTCCTCAGTGAAACGCACAGAAGGTGGCAAGAATTCAGAGGAAGCAGGAATTTGGGGCCATAGGTCACTTGGAAAGATCTAACCCTTCAAGAATCCCCTGAAATATTGGGAACACTGGATACCAACATTTATGGGATGAGGTGGGAGTCAGTTTATCTTAAATCTTAAGGAAAAGATGATCTCAATGAGTTGCAAAATATGCAGACATCCAAGTGGCTGTTATAGGGGTAAAAAGAAGTACTGTATTTTAAAATTAATTTTAGAAATGTGGAAATGATTAAAGTACTAAGATTAATACTTTTTTGGGTGCTTTGGGGAAATGCATGGCAGTTTGCAAATATATCTTGGGAGGGTATGTTCAGACTGTGGATATAAAGCAGAACTAAAATTATAGATTAAAGGAGTTCAAAAAGTATCCTATACTTACCAACTGAACATCAGGATCAACATATTGCTGTACAGCTCTAACAAATGCAGCTGGATTTTCTTGTACTTTTATGCTACATAAAAAGATTAATTTTGAAGCTATGTAATTTCCTTCTTAGTAGCACATAATCATATGGCATTAGAAATAATACAAATAAATTTTCATAACAGACTAGTAGTTTTAGGAAAAAATTATTAGAGAAAAATAAAAACCTTTTGAGTCTAAAATTGTTTCTTTCACTACAAAATATGACAAAAACATTTAGCAATAATTTTTACAGTGTAAAAAATGGTTTGGTAGAAAATAAGATCTTGTCAATTGTCCAGAATCCCTACAATCAATAATTCTGTAGTTCAAAATGGGGTTGAAAGTGAACTTTTGAAATCCCAAGTCTCATAGTATCAAATATCTGAAACACTGTTCAAGCTCAACCAGGATTAAGATTTCTGTAAGAGTGAATCACTATAGCAATCTAAAAATGAATGTTTCAGAAAACATCAGATTAATGAGACCAAGATATTCAGCTAATTTGCATGATTCAGACAAAAATATATTTATTTTCCTTAGTGGTTGCTTGTCTGGAGCCTGGAACATCTAGCCTTAATCAATTAATCAGTGCACAGCTACTTAACAATTATCTGTTCTGTGCTTAATTATGTTAGGGGCCAGCAGCTCCAGAAGTAATTCTCACACACACAGGAATTTGTAAAACTAGTTTCTTTATGTAGAATCAGCCTCTTTTATGTGTATATAAGTGAACTGTCGCAATGCCCAGTGGCCTTTTAAAACTTGCCCAGCAGGTGGCAGGACCGTCAACCCCATGAATGCAGATTTTAACAGACCTATGTGACTGGCTGGCAGAACCGTCTCAGCAACTAGATGGTCCTGACTCGTCCAATTCAAACTCTTGCACTCTGACTCTGCTGCACTTATAGTCCATTCCTTCTAAAATCATCAGGTGAATGTTTTAGAAGACAGAGCTATGCATATAAATCTAACAGGTAAACGGATACTTTATGGAAAAAAGAAGCTGGAAATAAAATATGAGCTTTCAATTAAAACAGGCCAAGGACAGAACACAGCAATGGGCTTGTTCCAGAATTCACGTGAGAAAGAGCCTGAGATGTCAGCCCAGGGTCTGCGGACTGTGGCTTCTTTCATAATCATTTCCTGCTTTATTAGCTGATGGGTTTAGAGAAAGTAGAGCAGGTGTTTATTTATCCACGCTATTTATTAACAGATTTGATAAGAGGGGAGTTCTAAACAATGGTGTTAAATAAGACTTTGGGATTAATACTTGTGCTGCTGATGTATATTAGTAACTATGTGTTTAAAGCATAACTCCACTATAACAAAGAAAAATAAGTATCTGTTCCTCTTTTCTAAGCATATCAGGTTCAGTAAAGTGAGGCATGACCAACTTTATGGCTTTTCTAAAGCAAAACAGTATTTTCAGTGTGATTGTATATGTATCTCTTACTCAATGAAAAACAGTTTATTTATCTTTCTCATCCTCAGCAACTGGCATAGTATAGTATCTACACATATTAGTACTCAATAAATGTTCTAAGAATAAATGGTTGACCCTAGTCTTATCAGGAAACTTTCTGAATGACTAATAGTATGCTACAGTAACAGAATCAGAAAAGCTTATTTGAGATCTATTTTCACATTAAATTTTAAAGCATAAAATCTATCGAGTAAAAGTCAGGACATGCAACTTTTATTTTTTAATATTCATTTGCTATTAAGTAAATAACCGATATGAAAAACTGATTTGAAAGAAGGAAAAACAGTTGAGAAGACAATATATGGACTTATTAAAGATTTATATCCCAACTGGTACTGGAAAGATTTTCAGGTAATGACACTACTGCTTAAGAACTGTGTACAAGTTTTACAAAGACCAACATAAAATATATTTTAACTTTATAAAAGTTTAGTCATTACAAAATCTATCCACTTATGACTATTTTCTTGGCACCTTACATTAGGAAACCGTACTGGGATAAAGAAGCTTTTGTTGATACATCTGCCATTATTCCCTATCTTCTAACCAAACCAAATTAATATATGAACAAAATTCAATGTATTCTCACATTTTGGGGTAGTCCACATTAAATCCCATGGAACCTGCAACTCTTCTCAAGCAGTTCAGAAAGCTCTCAGCAACATATTCAGTTCTGTCACTACATAAAATCAACCAGGTATTCAAAGACCGTGCATTTAAAATTTTGCAAGTTCGAACATCCTTGGACCAATCAGCAGCAGACACAGGTTGACACTGAGAAAAATAATGACCATGAAAGGATTGAACAAATTTATTCAGAGATCAACTAAATAAAGACAGTGTGAAGATGGCCAACATTTGTCATAACTGTTTAACAGAGTTTGCTATTCAGTCTTAAAACATGGATGCAGGCACTGCACATCCGAACAGAATACATGTGCTTTCTGGGAGTGGAAGCATCTGGGCATCATCCCAGGTCTTCCAGGCACTGGTGGCAGAACCTTGGAGGTTCCTTTAATCTCATGATTCTCTGTGGTGCGCAGAGAATGGTGTCTGATTCAAAGATCTCTGAGGTTCCCTTCCAGCTCTTGAGTATCTATGCCTTTATTAAGAATGATTCAGGCAAAAGCCTGTATTGTTTCGTCTTTTACTTGAAGCATCTAAATATCTCAGAGAATGCTGATTATCGATACTCTAGGTCATCATAATAAAACGAACACACCCGACAGAACAGTTAAGATTATATATTAAGCTAGGAGTAGGTACACCTAGAAGCAAAGATGAAGCCAGGATGGAGGCTCCTTTCTCACTCTCAAAAGGTGCCTCATGTGACCAGGAAGAACAGGTTTCCTTTGTTGAAGAGGGAGGAATGTTAGCCTGCTTCCCAGACCCTCTGCTTATATCCCCAGCCTGTAATTGAATGATGCTTTTGGCATAGCAAGTGGGGAAGATCCACTGTTAGAATTAAAAGGGACCACACTGTATGCTCATCTCCTGCTACTTGAAGTGCTGTCAAGCACTACTTGACCAGCAGCATGAGCATCGCCTAGAAGCCAGTTAGAAATGTAGAGTCCTGGGCACCACCCCAGATCCACTGAATCAGAATCTGCATGTTAACATGTCCCCCAGGTGATTCACATGTACACTAATACTTAAGAAACATCCCAATCTTCTTGTTTTACAGACTAGAAAGCTGTGGCTAAGAGATTATGAAACCCGTTGGCAGCAGTGACAGGTTTAGAATGCTGGTCTCCTGACATGGCAGCCAGGGCAATTGCAACCAAGCACTCTGACTTCTCTGACTTCCAATCATCAGCCATCCTCATGATGCCTTCCACTGGCTGGGCTGGATTCAGCTCCAGGAGTCCACCTACCTCAGCCTGAGAGCAAAGGAGAAGGGCTAGCTTCCCATCAAAGGCTCTCTCTGGAACCAACGTTCACTCCTGTCCATTAGAGCATGAAGAGAGTTGTAGTCCTTCTGCCCACAACACTTCTTCCTGCTGTTGTCTTATGGGGCTGGGAGGAAGACCCAGGACAATGTACCCTGAGACTTGTGGACTTCTAGTTCATTCAATTCCTAGGAGCTAATTTCAGAAAAGCAGAATGGGCCAAGAACTTGATGACATGGTCATCTTAGACACCTGCTACCTCCAGTGTATGAGTTCTCCTGTTTTAATGCCCTTTCTCCTATGGACACCAGTTTTTACACCAAAAGAATGAAGACAAATAAATAAAAATGAAAGGCTCCGGGAAATACGATTTTGCTTATAGAGATTACGAGACAGATCATTTTAAGTACATAAGTCCTTCTTTACATGTGGATCTGAAACTGAGCTTCTCTTTACTGACCTGTCACCAAGATCCTAATGGGAGTCTACATTTTAGTACTTTACAATAAAGTTTTGTTTTGTTTGTGTTGAAAAAATAGTACTTCCTTAGGTTCTCCAATGAGAGTTTTTGTAACCTGGATAGATTATTGTAAAGAAATGACAAGGCCAGCCATGGTGGCTCATGTCTGTAATCTCAGCACTTTGAGAGGCCAAGGTGGGAGGATGGCTTGAGCCCAGGAGTTCAAGACTACCTTGGGCAACATAGGGAGACCTGATTTCTACAAAAAATACAAAAATTAGCTGGGTGTGATGGCGCATGCCTATAGTCCCAGCTTCTTGGGAGGCCGAGATGGCGGGATCGCTTGAGCCCAGGAGGTTAAGGCTGCAACGAGCTGTGATCATGTCTCTATGTTCCAGCCTGGGCAACAGAACAAGACCTATCTGAAAAAAAAAAAAAAGATGAAAAAAAATCCCCCATTCTACCACCATGATACATTCATTGTTCAGTTATATCAGTTAGACATACAGGTTTATTACACCAAATAAAGGCAAGAAGAGAGCCTTTAAACATGAAAAGAAATGCAACTGGTTTTTTAAAGTGGGCAAAACTAAGGGGGAGAAGAGAAAGATAATGCATAATTTTTGCATAAAATATTAATAGGTTCATTTCTTCAACAGAAGTCTGGAAGTGGCAATGATTTGTCTCTTCAGGTTTCCAAACGCCTCTCTCCCCAAGTACTATGGCTGGGGCTGGGTTCTGTGCATATTTCTTGACTTTCGTGTCCATTGAGCAGTGTTTTATTTTGAAAGATTAACATACACAACTGACGTAGCAACTGAAAGTCCGGTTTTGGTATCAGAAAACAGTCTTTTAGAACTAATGTTCACCAGTTAATAGAATTTCCTCAGATGACTATGGCCTTTTTTTTTTTTTTAAGAGCAATGCACCATGCAACAGAAGATGGGTATATTTTTAATTGCAATGATTTGAAATACCATCTTCTGACTAACCTAAATCATGTCCACTGGGTGCCGCTAAGTCCATGCAAGTAAATTCAGATTGACAAGGAAACCACAGGGGATCTGAAGTCTTAGGATAAAGAGATGGAAGTACATGGCCAAACCAATTATTATAAGCACACAAGCCACTATGGCCAATGCACAAACTTACACATATTCAAGTAAATACTTTTAAATGAAAGTAAAATCACAGCACTTACTATGTGGTCTTGCATTAATATTTTTTCTGAAGGCACAACCCGTCCAGTCAGAGATATCTGGCTTCCAAAATGCAGTCCCCAGGTCTCTAGTTCAAAACGAGCATTGGTGTTCCTGTTGATAGAGTTGTTTTAAATCATTAAACGGAGATATATTTACAACTTACTGAATTAGTCAGGGGCTGATTTTCTGTGTCTTCAGGATTCCTGGCTTCTAATTCTACTCAGCATATTTTTTCCCTGCTTAAAAGAATTATGGGACAACTGTGCTCATTTGGGATGTTCAGGAATGGGAAAAGGATTCCAGTGGGAGTACAGTGGTTAGAAAAATAAGCTTTCGAGCCAGGCAGACCTGGGTTTAACTCCTGGCTCTAATGTTTAATAATATATGACCTTGAGCAAAGTATTAATCTTTAAGGCCTTGGTTTCTTTACTGGCAAAATGGAAGGATAATAAAAGTACCTACTTCGTAGGGTAGATATAAAGATGAAATATGATAATACATAGAAAGTGCTTACCATAGTCCCTGGCACATGGCATGTGCTCAAAGCCTATGAGATATTATCATTCTTGATAACACACTTGTTAATAAAGAGATATTTTGGAGCCAGTGGATGTGGAGATGTCTTTTGTGAATATCTGAATTTGTTGGGTTGAGAGTCGAGGAAGGACGATAAAAGAAGGGAACGTAAGAATTTAAGCTTCAGAAGATTCAGGGTCTTCCTATTACCCTGTCTATCCTATGAGGAGAATATTAATATCAGCAATAATAACACTACTTTCTATTGTGTAGTACTTTCCATTTATAACTTAATAAGCTTTAATCATAGTTGACGTTTTAGCTCATAGGAGTATGATATATGGTAACTTCCACTGAGCCATAAGCTCCTTGAGAGCAGCAACCACATATAGGACTCAGCACACAGTAAGCCAGGCATGTGCAGGACATGGAGGTGACCCCCACGCTTTTGTTTCCCTATTAAAGCTCTACCTCTTTTTTTAGGGGAGCTCCAACCTCTTCACCACTGTCTCTCAGCAATAGCTCACTATTTCCACCTATTCAGATTATGTCTTCTCTGGTCACACTAATTCTTCGAGTTAATTATTTTGCTGCCCAAGATTATTATTTTACTGCCCAAGATGAGATGAGTGAGGCCATCATTGGTCAGGAAACGGGGTGAGGTGGGTGGTATTACTGAAAGATGGCAGATAGATGCATCAGGAAGATTAATCCACAGTCACTATAAGGGAAACGAATGAGGAATCCCTTCTGAATTCGGTGTAAGTCTGAGGGATGTCCAGGGTAAAAGGCGTAAAGTGTATCCATGAAATAAAAAAAACTATGAAACCACTAGCATGATAATAGAGTTCATGTTTATCATACGGAAATGTTTGAGAAAAACCCTGAAGTGAAAAGAGCAAGTTACAAAACATGATGTACAGTACTATACCGTTTCTCTTTAAAAAAAAATAGGATTAGGCCGGGCGCGGTGGCTCACGCCTGTAATCCCAGCACTTTGGGAGGCCCAGGCGGGCGGATCACGAGGTCAGGAGATCGAGACCATCCTGGCTAACACAGTGAAACCCAGGCTCTACTAAAGAATATAAAAAATTAGCCGGGCGTAGTGGCGAGCGCCTATAGTCCCAGCTACTCGGGAGGCTGAGGCAGGAGAATGGCGTGAACCCAGGAGGCGGAGGTTGCAGTAAGCCGAGATTGTGCCGACAGACCAAGACTCCGTCTCAAAAAAAAAAAAAAAAAAAGGATTATATGCATTTGCAAAGTCTGAAAGAATATTACTAATATGATAATAATTGAATTATTAATTCAATTGTGATTCACTCATTTGTTAAATATTTACTGAGTAAACACACATACACACTCTTTTCTCTCTCTCGTTTCTTTGTGCTATGGAAATTTCCAAATCCTCCAAGAGCTAGTACTACTTTTAAAAAAATTTTTTTAAAAAAAGACTGTTGATCAGCAATATAGCCCAATAGAAATATAAAGCAAGCTACATATGTAATTTTAAATTTTCCAGTAACCACCTTAAGAAAGTAAAAAAGTGGCAAGTGAAATTATGTTTTAAATATATGTTATTTAACCAATCATTTCTAGGTGTGTCACTAGCCACATTTCAAGTGCCTAGCAGCCACACTAGATAGTTCAGTTTTAGACGGTCAGAAAGGAAAACCAAGGAGAAGCTCAATTTTCCAATCACATGTCACAGCAAACTGTCAAAAGAACTGAAACACAGTCTGATAATCAGATAGGCAGAACCAGATGGCACAAAGGTATATCTCAAATTTAAAAGGCACATAGTGGGGTTTTCCTAAAGTTCAGTCTGCTAAGGCCATTGTATTAAGAGTTGAGCATTCCTGACCCTGAATACTGGGGGCCTGGTGTTTTTCTGGTTGCTTTGTTTGCTTGGATGTTGTTGTTGTTGTTTACATTGTAACCTTTTTCTTTATTCCACATTTTATCCAGACCTCAATGTATGAAACAGATGAAAGCAGGGCATGCAGGTAAAGTGAGTGTGATTCCTATCAGCATGGCTTCTCCCAACTCCATTCAACCCCTTAGTCCTGAGACATCTCACATGAAGGGCTGTGGACAGCACAATTCAAAAGCTCCTTGCTCTCAATCAATACGAATGAGACATTTCCTTCAAGGAATACAGTGTTACATGGACCATCTAATACTAAAAACTCAGCCCCAGGCAGGATGCATGCGGTGATCCAGCACCTCTGGATGTTGTCCACAAGCCTGGCCAGGCGCTGCTGCCGGCCTGAAGGAGGGAGACGTGTCTTTTCAGCCACAGCCTTCATCAGCTGGAAATCAGAGGTTGCCTGGTCAGTCAGCCCTATTAAATGCAAATGAAGACAAAGTGAGAAAATGAACATAAGCGACTCAGCCCATCGCAGGCCCAGTTTAAACCTTTCCGCTTGAATACATTCACCATCTGTATAGCACAACCAATAGAAATGAAAACCACGTATGTCATTTTAAGTTTTCTGATAACCATGTTAAGAAAAGTCAAAAAACAAACAGACAAAATTACTTTAAATAGTGTATATTATTTAGCCCAGTATATCCAACATATTATCATTCCAACATGTAATCAACATAAAACACTTAATGATGAGGTAGTTTCCTTCTTTTTTTCATATTAAGCCTTTCAAATCTGGGCTGTATTTTACAGCATACCTCCTCTCAGTCTTTTGGTAGAGCTAGTCCCAATTCAAGCACTCAAAAACTCATGTGCTCCTGGCTATTATATTGGGTCCTGCAGACCTACAATATCAGAACACCATTAAGAATGAGCACCCCTTAGGCTGGGTGCTGTGGCTCACACCTGTAATCCCAGCACTTTGGGAGGCTGAGGCAGGTGGATCACCTGAGGTTGGGACTTTGAGACCAGCCTGACCAACATGGAGAAACCCATCTCTACTAAAAATACAAAATTAGCTGGGCATGGTGGTGCTTGCCTATAATCCCAGCTACTTGGGAGGCTGAGGCAGGAGAATCGCTTGAACCCGGGAGGCAGAGATTTCAGTGAGCTGAGATCATGCCATTGCACTCCAGCCTGGGCAACGAGAGTGAAACTCCATCTCAAAAAAATAAAAATAAAAAGAATTGGCACCCCTTCCCTCAAGGATTATATCATCATTAATCTTCCTTTCTTTCTTTCTTTCTCTCTTTCTCTTTCTCTCTTTCTCTTTCTTTCTTTTTTTCTCTTTTTTTTCTTTCTTTCCTTCTTCCTTTCTTTCTCTCCTCCTTCTTCCTCCTCTCCTCCTCCCTCCTCCCTCCTTCCTCCTTCCTTCCTCTTCCTTCTTCTTCCTCCTTCCTCTTCTTCCTCTTCTTCTCACAGTCTTGCTCTGTCACTCAGGCTGGAGGGCAATGGCATGATCTCGGCTCACTGCAACCTCCACCTCTCGGGTTCAAGTGATTCTTCTGCCTCAGCCTCCTGAGTAGCTGGGATTACAGACATGCATCACCATGCCCGGCTAGTTTTTCATTTTTAATAGAGATGGGGTTTCACCACGTTGGCCAGGCTGGTCTTGAACTCCTGACCTCAGGTGATCCACCCACTTGGCCTCCCAAAGTGTTAGGATTACAGGCGTGAGCCACGATGCCCGCCCTTCTTATTAATTTTTCTAATGGCAAAATAGATGTATCCGCATCATAACTGACTCAAGGAACACACAAATGCAAAATGTAGAAAGTCTTTCCTTCCTAGCCCTACCCGTTAGTCAAAAGAACATTGTTAAAAGTGCTCGAGGCAGTTATTCAGATTTTACTGTATAGTAAGGATTATATTATGAAAATTCATGCAAAAAGAAAATAAGGATTATTCTGGTACCGATCTACTGATATACCTGAAGAAAATCTAAGTCATATTCCTTCCTATACTAGCAAATTCAAACAATGGCAAAGAGAAACTTGGTTTTAGGATGATGTCAGGGGTTCTATTTTACATCAAAGTAATACATGGAATATATGAGATAAAGGAAATAGATTCCAAAGGGCACTCGATTCCCCCAACATGTCTCTATTATTGAATAAATTACTTAAAAGGCCCATCCTCCATGGGTTAAATCAATGTCCTGGCATTCAGGTAACGTAAAGAGGGTCTGCCCACTGCCAAGCATCAGGGGCCGGTATCCAGGAGCCTGACAGAGGTATAAAACACAAATATTACCTGTTAGAAAGCAGAGCTCAGGTATCAGGTGGGCGAGCCGAGCCTCACTGTTGTCATTTCTCTTCCTCTTTAACAGACTAACAAGCATGGGCTGATTGAGGTCAGATACAGTAATATCATATTGCTATAAAACGCAAGATTAATGAGGGAAAAGTCAACGTGGAAGCACCGCCAGGTAAGCATCCTTACATTCAACAAGGTGATCCTAACATATATAAAAATGTAACCAATCCCATGGTTACCTACTTATTGCTACTTTCTTCCCAGGACCTTTCTATCTGAGGGCCAGTTTTATTATTTTAATTATTTTTTCTAACACAACACCATTAAAAATATCGTTTCCCTGCTATCTCTCGGTTTTAGCCAGATTCAGAATAGACTCCAGCTGGTTCTATACATAGGTCAATGACATCACTGGGACTGACTCAAAGCCAGCATTTCCACTACTGATGACTGAGGCAGACTGCCCCATGCTTAACTATCTGCTCTAAACATCTATATTCATTTTGAAAATATCTATACACAAGCTGGAGGTGAGTTATATTGAGACAATCTCAGATTTCACAAAAAAGCATGACTGTCCTTACCTTCTAGGACAGTAGGATGTTACAGGGAAGCAGTCCTGAAGTCTGACAAATGTGAATTTGATCCCCAGCTCCTCTATTTGCTTGGGCTGTGACACTGGGGAAGTGATTTAACTTTCCTTATCTATGAAATAAGGATAACAGTAGCTCACAGGCATCCTATGTAAACCATGAGCAAGGGGTCTGGTTTATAATGAATCCCTGGCAACTGTTAGTTCATATTCCTCTCCCTTTGCCATCCTAAACTTCAATTTCAGCATTCTCACCTTGGCAAAAGCTCATTTACCCTCCAGTGACAAACGTTACAATGAACACTCGTTTCCATTATAATTTGATCCACGTTAGTGACAGAATAACTGGAATTATAACGTATAAAATGCCTGGGTATTATGACACTAACATCAATAATCACAATTAAAGAAGTCAAATATGAGCATTTCTCTATTTCAAGAAAAACTTTGTCATTAAAATAAAAAACGAGTCAAGAATCTCATTTGAAAGCAGCAGGTGCAACTGATGCTATGGCTAAAAAGCTTGGAGAAGCCTTTATCAAGTGAGTTTGCATAGATGACTCCATTAATTTAGAACACATGGTGTGCTTACTGTGTTCCAGAACAGCAGTGGATAAGAAGATAAAAGTAAAAGAGGCACAGTCCCTGCCTTTCTGCATAAATACATTATCTACAAAGCGAGGTCCACAGGAAGCACAAACAATGCATAGCGAAGCACAACAAAGGACAACAAACTGATGAAAGAGATACTATTATTGTCCCCTTCACAGATGAAAAAACACTGAAACATTAAGCAATCTTCCCAAGGCTCCATAACTGGAAATGAGCATAGCTAGGATAGATCTGTTAAGACTCTGCTTGCTATACCACTCAGTACCGGATCCCCGGGCTGGAGTGGGAGGGGCGGGGAGGAAAAGGAGATGGTGGTAGTGACACAATTATGGCTGGCAAATCAGGGAGGCCTCCATGCAGGTGGAGACCAAGAGAGGACCCTGAAGAAAACATGGGAGTATGGAGAGTCTCAGGTAACAGCTCCAGCAAAACGAAGGCATCCTCCAGGAAGAAGGACTCTAGCTGGAGCATGGTCAAGAATTCTAGCCCCCAAGCTGCTCCCACAAGGCAAATTTGACCCTTTCCCTTGACCCAATTTTCTTAGCATTTGAAAATACTTTGTATGATAAGATAAAATAGAGAAATATAAAGGTCAATATCAGGATGTCTTCCACTTTGAAAACTGACTACATAATAATTGAGTCTTTCTTTCCTGGGACAGGGAGGAGGGCATACTAGAAGCTGTCACAGTGTTCTTTCTTTTCCTCCCTAATTACAATATCTATGCAGTGAAGCACAACTCATTTCAAAAAACAGTGACTGGGATTTTTACCATGATTCCCGTTTCAGAATGTCACAGGTCCTAAAATACTTCTGTTTAAATGAACAAATTTAATCATGCAAGAAAGAAGCCCTAATGTTTAACAAACTGGGGGTTTCATAAACACAGAACACATTTTATGCACAAGATGCTTTGCTAGATACTATGCATCAAGGATTAGCCAAACGCCATCCTTGCTCTCCAAGGAGTATGTGTTCAAGAAGCAATGTGATGAATGCACAGGTACTTAGAAAGGAGAACAGCTTGCTCTTCTATGAGTGTGACAGAAAGCAAAGCCAGAGAGGACTTCACACTTGGCCTTGAAGCTAGGATTTGACCTAGGGGTAAAGGAGAAAGGTACAGCGTGGCTTTCTGAAGATGCCTAGTGAACACATGCAAAGGCTAAGGAAGGTGTAGGCCAGTGAGTGGATGGGGGATAAAGGCATGGGGTGCATAGTAGGGATGCTGAGAAATATAAGAAAGAAAGAGGGGGTCAAACTATGCAGTACCAGAGAGGAAGAAGCAGAGGATAGAAAAGGAGGAGCATGGTCTCCACTGTTCTCCCAGTGCTCACAAAGTGCAGGCACACTTCAATGCTCTGTGTGCATAATTATCTTGTTCGGTTCTTACACTACACCATGAAGGTAGACAGATAAATTTCCTTTACACATGACACTCTGGGTTTAGTGATTTACCCAGGGTTACACAGCTGGAGCCAGACCATCTTACTCAAGAGGTTATGCTTTTAATCAGATTTCTGGGCAACACTTCAGAAAGATCTCTCTGGTGGCTGTGAGCATGAGAGATCACAGTGAGGAGAGAGCTAGGGCATAAAGAGTGATGGTAGGGGGAGGGGATCCACGAGATGGCTGCATTAATGCAGTGGGAAAAGGGCTGGAAAAGAGAAAATTCACGGATAAAGGATACAGAACTCACCTTGGTGACAAGCGAATGAGGAGGTTAACTTGAAGAGGAAGAAAGCAAAATCCTTCCTGTCTGAGCTACAGAATTTCCAAGGAGAAACAGGAATGGGAAAGACAATGAATTCAGTCCGAATTATATTAGTTTGAGATGCCTGCAGGGTATTCATGCAAATATGTTCTGGAAATGGAGATGAATATGTAATTTGGGAATGAGGGCAAGGCAAAACCACTATATTTGAGCCATCTCAAAATACAATGAAAAGGTTCTGTATGAGGGAACCATGGTGAAGAATGGTTCCTTTGTGGGGAAGGGAGGAGGAAAATGTCAAAGGAGACTAAGAGAGAACAACCTGAAAGTAGCGGAGAGCCGCAGGGATGTATCCCAGGAGTTAAGGAAGGAAGAGATCAGTTCCAGCCGGTGGGAGAGGTCACAGGTATCAAATGCACTGAAAGCCCTTTAGGAAAAGAACAGTAACTGAACTTGACCCTTCTAGAACTACTTCTAAAGCAGCAGAACTGGATACCAGACTGCTGAGGTTTCAGGAAGGAAGAACGGGAAAGGTGCTTGGAGCTGGTATAAATGACTTTCTAAAGTTAGCTAAGGAGAAAAAGAGAGCTTTTCCTGAAGGTGTACAATGATCAAGAAAGGGTTTTTGGATTTGTTTGTTGTTTTAACCTGAATATTACTATACATTAAAGAGAAGGCACTTTCCAAAGGAATTGAACATGGAAGATGAGGGGCAGGGATAATTGTTGCAAATGCGATTAGAGTTTCCAGAGACAGCAACAGATTCCATCAATAGTTTCTTGAGTATCTAATATGCGCAAAGCACTGAGCTAGCCCTGGGTCTCCAAAAATAAGGAGCCCCCTCCCCAGAGCTCAATGTCTAGGATGGGGCTCAGACCATTCGCGTGGTGCCTGTGATGACCTGATACAGGGAGGGGATCCTGGGAGGAATGCTATAGGGCTCCCTTGAGACTTGATGGCTGAGCTGAGTTCACAAGGGTGTCTAGTGTTCGTCTGGCTGTCAAGGGGTATCCAGGAAAAGGAAGCAACATGTGTGAAAATGCACAGGGGAGAAACCGAGTCATGGAATCACAAGAGGCAATTACATCAGAGTCAGGCAAGGGAGCAGGGGAATGGGAAGAGATGAGGCTTTAAAGGCAGCATTTGGCCACATCATAAGGAGCCTTGAAAACTCTGCTAAGGGGCTTAAATGTGATCCTAAGGCAATAAGGAGACATGGAAATGTATTAACGTTGGGAGCAGTGTAATCAGATATGCGTTAAAGGGAGATTACTCAGACTACAGGAAGAAGGAAACAGGAGATAGGATGAGGGTCAACAGGAGACCGGGATGGTGGGGATGAAGGAGAGAGACAAGTCAGAGAATCAGGTCGGAGGCAGACTCAGCCTACAATCTGGGGGACCTCTGAGACTTGGAATAAGTAGACTTCTCTGAGGTAAAAGGAAAGGAGATAGAGATGAATGAAGAAAAGTCCTACCTGCTTGTAGTAATCCACATAGGTGATCTCGGTGCCATCCCGCTTCTGAAAGGTGTGTGTGGGCTTCACTGACCAGTCAATGTCATCAATGGAGTAGGTTCTGTTATTGTATCTGGCAAATATAAAAAGTCTTTACAATTTTTTAATCATCTAACATAAGCAGCTACTTCACCACACTTTTAATTCAACACATAAGATAGACTCCAGAATGTCAGAAATTATGAAAACAATATAACAAGAATATTCACTTTTTAAAAAATACTCAGCTCTTTTCTGAAAAGGGCATTCCTTAATAATTTCATATACAGGAAGACTTCTGTCTACATTCCAACAAAACCTGTGGGGAAGTCCTTAGACCACAGTCTATTTTTCTCACTGATAGATACACTAATTTCAGGCAAATCATTCTGAAATGTTCAGAGGCTGAAGCATTGCTCAAAACTTTCCCATTATCTTCTCAGATAATGGTGTTTCTGACTTCCCAGGTAGTTTTTCTGATAAAAAAGCACCAAAAGAATGCCAATCAACCCACAATACTGGTGTCTTGCTTAACCTTCCCGCTAGGGCTGGCTCTTGGCAAAACTACAAAACAGGTTAGCTAAGATTACTCTAAGCTCCTTCTCCCCTTCAGCACTGTGTAGCCTGGACTGTCGTCTCAGGATGACCCAGCCTAGGGGCAGAAGCTACCACAGCAGGTTTCTCTAGAGCTCTTGATTCTTTGCAAGATGACTTTGAAATGTGATAAGCTAATCCATCAAGATCAGGACAGGAGGATAAGAG